AAAGATACACACAGGGTGAACATGCTATAATGGAGGCAGAGATTGGAGCCATGCATCTGCAAATCAAGGAACCCTTAGGATTTGTGGCAACCACAGAAGCTGGAAGAGGCAAGGAAGGATTCTTCCCTCAAGCTTTCAAATTGAGCATGGCCATGCTGATGGCTTGATCTCAGACTTCTAGCCCCAAGAACTGAAAAAGAATAAATTCCTTTTGTTTTAAGCCATGCAGTTTGTAGAATTTTGTTATGGTGGCCCAAGGAAACTACTACACAGTCTTACCAATATTAAATCTAAATATTAAATAATTAAATCCGTGAGTGTGAACTCTCATTTATTTAGATTATCTTTATTTTTCTCAGCAATTTTATTTTTCTAGGTACAGATATTTCATTTCTAATGTTTACTCCTAAATATTTTATTCTATTTGGTGCTATTATGAACGGAATTGTCTTCTTAATTTCATTTGCAGTTTGCTTTTTGCTAACATTTAAAAATAGAATTCACTTTTATGTTGATTTTTGTGTAGTTAGCCTTGATAAAGTCATTTATTCTAGTAATTTTCTTCTGGATTCCTTAGTATTTTCTACACTGAGGGTCATGTTATCTCCAAAGATAGTTTGACTTCTTCCTTTCCAGTGTGAAGTGTTTTTGTGCTTTTTGCACTGGCCAGAAGCTTCAATACAGTGCTGAACAGGAGAGTGGACATTTTTTTCCTTGTTCCTAGTCTTAGAGGAAAAGCTTCAGTTTTAACTCTTAATTATGATATTAATTATAGATTTTTCATAGATGCCCTTTATCAGTTTGAAGATGTTCTCTTTTATTCCTAGTCTGTTGAGAGTTTTTATCATGATTAAGTGTTGGATATTGTCAAATCTCTTTCTGTACCTTTGAGATAATCATGGGTTTTTTGTTTTGTATTCTCTGAGGTCTTAACTTGAGCTGCCATTATAAAATACCACAGACTGGGTAGCTTAAAAATACAAATTTATTTTCTCATGGTAGTGGAGTCTGGGAGGACTAAGATTAAGGTGCTGGCTGATTCAGTTGCTGGTTATGACTCTGTCTGGCTCATAGATGGCCACCTTCTCTCTGTGTCTTCACATGGCAGAGCTCTCTGGTATCTCTTCTTATCCCATTGGACCAGGGCTTCACCCTTATGAATTAATAACCTCCTGAAAGCCCCATCTGCAAATACCATCACACTGGGGGTTAGAGTTTCAATACAGGAATTTGAGAGGAACACAAACTTTTAGTTCATAACATATGATATTAAGTCAGCTTTGGGTGTTAATCTAATTTGTGTGTGGACTGAGAAGTACATTCATACTTAAGGCCATTTTCAAGACTGTCCTGGCTTATATTTTGTGTTGATTGCATGAACTCATGTTCCATCAGCCAAGGATGTATGGCTGGTTTGGGTCCACTCCAGTCTCTACTGTGTACATCACAGCCTAGTCAACCCAAGACATATGGAGAGCTGAAGCAAGCCCTGTGTGGCTGTCGTGCCTCCAGGAATTCCTGATAAACCCTCAACTGTTCTGCTGTCCTGCTGCTCAACACGCACAGGACTGCAACCACTGACTCCCCACTTCACTTGCCACTGCATTTGCTGCTTTAACTGACAGCTCTTTGAGTCAAGTGAGACTCTTCCATCAACAGAAGCAAAGCTGCTAGTTTTCTGGTTGAACTACAACTGTGATAAAGCTAGAAGGAGGAGGAAAATAGCTCTGGGCAAATATGCCACAAACTCACACAGTTCCACCCTGAGATCATTTTCATGAGTAAATGCTTCTCACCGTTTGTATGCCCTTGCTCCATTGAGAGCACTAAAATGGTTGTCTGGCAATTTTGTCCAGCTTTTAGTTACTTTTAGGGGAGAGGCTTTGAAGACCACTTCCTTCCATCATGCCAGAAGTGTATCTCTAACCACACTATCTATTATAAATAGTTAGGGATTTATATTATCCATGGGAGTTACTCAGTAAATGACAGTTCACTATTTCCAAGCTCTGAATGATATTTGGCAAAAGAGATTTGGGGTTGTTATTCTTGGAAAAATAAGCAAAGACTGACATATTTATAAACCCCACTGGAACTATGAATTCTAGTTCTTTGTAGCTTTGAGTTTCAAAGAATGTGAAAGTGGAGTATAAGTTAATCCTTAAATATCCTTTGAGACTCAAGACCACCTCTGATATAATGTACAGCACATGGGATTGCTTCTTTCACATATATATATGTGTGTTCATTGACTTTCTGCAGAGTAACAGGGACCATGCAGGGCCTCAGAAGACAGAGACTAGGGGCATGTGGCTGATGGGTAGCTAGAGTCCAACTCTTTACCTTTATCTCTTACGTAAAGAGATGGCATAAAAAACAAGTTAACTTGTATTTTTTTTTTTTTAAAGATTTTATTTATTTATTTGACAAAGAGAGAGTTAGTGAGAGCAGGAACACAAGCAGGGGAGTGGGAGAGGGAGAAGCAGGCTTCCCGCCGAGCAGGGAGCCTGATGCGGGGCTCGATCCCAGACCCTGGGACCATGACCAGAGCCGAAGGCAGACGCCCAACAACTGAGCCACCCAGGTGCCCCAAGTTAACTTGTATTTTTAAAGTTAAGTAAAATAGTTTATATCTTCTGAATGTAAGTGCCAGAGTCCTAATTCTAAACAGTCTTCTTTTTCTTTACTACAATTAGTAATTTTGGTGAAAGCATGATATATAGCTGGTTGATAGGCTATGTTTTGATCATTAGTGCTAATTTGTAGTTCAGTGATAACCCAATTAATGAGTTTTCTCAGGGTCAAGCTCCTTTATAGATGTTACTCAAAAATAAACAGTGTATAGGAGTAGGGAAATGGCATCATTCAGGTCCTCCTCCCATGACCAAGAGTTGCTTTTGTGCATCCCTACACTGCTACAGGGCAATAGTTCTAATCCTTGGCAAAGTAGGGAGGTTTGCAAGGGTGCAGTATGTGCCCTTTCCCTGTACACACTTCCTTCCTCTGTCATTGGTAATTTTCACCTTATTCAGGTGCACAAAATCAAAAAAAAAAAAATCTGATGCTAGCAATTCTTACTAAATAATAGATATTATAGTGGGAGGTGTTTAAGTACTTATATTTTAGACTTTTTATTCCACTTTTCTCTGTGGAATAAAAATTCTTTTCTTTGTTAAAGGAATTTCAGGCGTTTCTAAGCAGGTGAGAAATTATCAGAGAAAGGGCAGCTCCTTAAAGTCTTATTAGTGATATATTTCCTGAACATTCCTAGGAAAGTTTAGCAAGTGTTTACTGTGTCCCTGGCATCATACTAGGTGGTAGGAATACAGAATAAACAATACATGATCATCACTGCCCAGATTTTTAATAGTATTTAATTATAATTATGATAAACATTGTGAAGACATATATAAGATACTACAGATGGTCCCTGACTTACAGTGGTACAAAAGCAATTCATATTCAGTGGAAATTCAGATTTTGAACTTTGATCTTTCCTCAGGTTAGTGATATGCAGTATGATACTCTCTGGGTGACGCTGGTAGCAAGCCACAGCTCCCAGTCAGCCAGGTGTTCATGAGGGTAAACAATCAGTACACTTACAGCCATTTTGTACCTGGACAACCATTCTGTTTTTCACCTTCAGTACAGTATTCAATAAATTGCATGAGATATTCAGCACTTTATTATTAAATAGGCTTTGCCTTAGATGATTTTACCCAACTATAGGCTAATATGGGTGTTCTGAGCATGTTTAACATAGGGTAGGCCAGGGGTGCCTGGCTGGCTCAGTTGGTAGAGCATGGGACTCTTGATCTTGGGGTCCTGAGTCCTTATGTTGGGTGTAGAGATTACTTAAAAAAAAACAAAAACAAAACAGGGTAAGCCAAGTTATGATGTTCAGTAGGTTAGGTGTATTAAATGCATTTTTGAGTTACAATATTTTCAACTTACAATGGCTTTCTTGGGATGTAACCCCCTTGTAAGTTGTGATAGACTTGTATAGAACGTACAATAGGAAGAACTCACCTGGTTTTTAGGCATTAGAGACTTACCTTCCTTGAATTTAACCCATCTCTTCTTTCCAGTATAGTTTATGACTTGAGCCCATTTGGGGTATTTTTATTTTTTGGTAACTTTTAAACATGGTTTTTTTTTTTTTTTTAAGATTTTATTTTTATTTTTTTATTTTAGAGATAGCGCAAGTAGGGGGAGGAGCAGAGCAAGAGGGACAAGCAGACTCTGCAGCGAGTGCGGAGCCAGACACTGGTCCTGATCCCACGACACTGAGATCATGACCTGAGCCGAAATCAAGAGTCGGATGCTTAACCAACTAAGCCACCCAGGCACCCCAAATATGGTTTTTAAAATATAATTTGTTTTTTTGGGTTTTTTTTAACTTAAAGAAAGTTGAAGAATAGTAAGTGAACTCCAGTGTATCCTTTGCTCAGGTTCACTAATCAGTGTTTTTTAATCTGGAATAGTTCCTCAGGCTTTCTTTTTCTTGACCTTGACATTTTTTTTTAAAGATTTTATATATTTATTTGACAGAGACACAGAGAGGGAATACAAGCAGGGGGAGTGGGAGAGGGAGAAGCAGGCTTCCCGCTGAGCAGAGAACCCGATGCTGGGCTCGATCCCAGGAACCTGGGATCATTACCTGAGCCGAAGGCAGATGCTTATGACTGAGCCACCCAGGCACCCCTTAACCTTGACATTTTTTAAGAGCACAGGCCAGTTATTTGGTAGCTTGTCCTCAGTTTTGGTATTTCTGACGATTCCTCATTATGATTCAGGTAACGTGTTTTTGACATGTTCCTTACATGTACACATTTGAACTCTAAAAAAGGTTTAGAGATTAGGATTTACTTAGATATAATTCATGTTTTCTCAAACTAGAAAAAATATTGGGGACATAACTGACATGGGGTTATCTTTTCTTAAACTAGTTTTGAAAGCTCTCACCAACCTCAGTGATTCATATCTTCATTTTTTGTTTTAAAGACAGATGCACATTATTCCATATTGTCACTTCTTCTGTGTCTATCTGATTCTCCTTCAAACAGCAATTATGTGGAAACACCAAGAGATGAAGTGGGTACGTTGCCAAATGTTTAATATATAACAAAAGTGAAATTGGTTTTATTGCTTAATTATCAGACATTTTATAAAAAGTTGTAAAAATCTATGAAACTAAAATATTTCTGTTGCTTTGGATACAATTGCAATTACAAATCATCATTTAAAATTTAAGTTCTGACTTTAAACTACTTTCAATTATATAAAGAGAAAAAATCACTTTTGAAGATAAGTTAAATTTTAAAATGTATTAGAATATCAATTTATTGAGTGTTTCAGTATTTTTGAACTTTGTCATTTCCTGAGTGCCTTTTATTTTGAGTTTTGTTAGACTTTTTTCCTACAGTTTTGGGGTTTTTTTTCCCCCACATATTTTTGATAAAGCTGTTGAAATTCTTCTGTTATATTTTAGAAAAGAAAGATGATTTTGACTGGGGAAAATACTTGATGGAAGGTGAAGAAATTGACCTTGGTCCAAATGTAAACACACCAGTAAGTAGCAATAGTTTTGCTATTGAACATATAAATATATGCCGAGTGATACATTATTTTTGTGGTTCCTTTCACCCTAGAGCAATTTAACTAAAACAGGAATACTCTTCACTAAATTAGAGTAGTTTATTATTAAAGATTTATTAAGATTTTGCACTGAATCAATAGTACTAGGAAGTTGAATGGAATGAATGTAAGTATCCTTTAGGGAGTAGCCTTTCATCTTGGGGGTTTTGCCACCAAAAATAATTCCAGGCTATCATAGTAACTTTCAAGACATTTAGAAAAAAGTGCCATTAGGTGTAGTTTTTGCTTTTTTTTTTGAAATTTTCTTAATCATTTCATCTAAATAGCTCCAATCACCATACACTCTTAAGGATAAGATGTATTTCCCTTTTTAATCAGAACTGGTCTGAAGACAGTGAAGATGAAGATGATCAACAGCCCTTAAGTAGAGAAGACTCTGGAATTCAGGTGGACAGGACACCGTTAGAAGAACAAGATCAAAACAGAAAACTGGGGCCTCGTGTCAGCTGGAAAGGTACTGTGTATTCTCAGATGCATCATTTTCTTGTAGTAGAACAGGCACGCTTTGGGAATCAGTTCTGTGTTACTGGTAAGCTCTGCCATCTTCATAAATCTTTTTAAACCATTAGTAGATCTATAGTGTCTAAGAAGTAGCACTACAAAATTAATGTTGAAAAGAGATTTATAGTGAAATTCTGTGTTTTGTTTTGATTTTATAGTTCTGAGAACTTTACTAGTCCTAAATATTTCAGTTTGTTTTTTATTGGAGAAGGGTTGACTTTGCCTAAGTTAGTAACAAAATAAAAGGAGAAAAGATCTGTATAATTTAATTTTAAATTGGAATGTTTGAATTTTAGTGAAGAACTGTGAATGGGTACTCTAGAAAGAACTGGAAGCAACCTCAGAGATTAGATTATCTAATCCTACTCCTCATTTTGTAGGTAAGGAAACAAAGTCCTGGTTACATTGGCTTTTCTGTGGTCACGTAGCTGTGACACTAACCCCAGAAGATGGGATATGTAAGCAGACCCTATTCACTGTACTTGAACCTTGCTAAATGGACAAAGTATTTAAAGCTGATTTAGCATCCTAATGATTTTCTGGCTTATTTTTTCTTTCCTTTTCTTTTTAATTTTTGTGTCAGACCTTTAGGGCAGAGTGTGGTCATTACTAGTACATGCAGGAACTTTTAATTTGATTTATATCATCTGTTCTGCTATTTCTGATTCTCACTCCCCATTCCCTTTCTCTGCCAGCCCAGTTCTAGGCACCTGTTGTAATGTATTTGAGACCTGTGTTCTCACACAGGTCAAGTTCTTATAAAATACATTCTATTGGTTGGTGTATTCTGTTTTAAAGTTATGTACTGGTATTATTCCATGTGCAGACTTTGTTCTATTCCTCTTTCATTTATCTCTGTTTTAAATCTGTCTCTGTCAACTCTGTGTACATCTATTCTGTTACCTCTAACTTCTGTATAGTTTTCTGCGGTTTGCAGTACCACATTTAAATTACCACTTTCCTGTGGACAGTCCCTGAGCTGCTTTTGCCCCCTCTACCTAGTGCCATGCCCATTATGGACCTGGCCCACAGTCTCCTCTCTACTTGATAAGATCCACCCCTCTGATTTGGGTTGCTTTTGTTTTAATTTGCATTTGTCTGGCTGTTCAGGATAAGTGCTTGTGACTGCTCAGGTCCTTTAGTCTTGCCCCTTCTGTGAAGTACCCATTGATAACCTCTGCTTGTTTTCTTTTGGGTTTCATGATTTCCTTCCCAACGCTATCCTTCAGAGTTCCTTGTATGTCTAGATATTAATTCCTAGGTTTTAGACATTGCAGTTATCATCTAGTCACCTTACTATTAACATTTTTCATGAGCTATTTCAAACAGAATCTGTGATTTTTTTCCACTATTTTGTTGTACTCAGACCTGTAAATTTTTTCATGATATGGTTAGCATTTGGGTCTTGATATTTTTCTCTACAAAAACATTCCCTTGTATTTTCCTTCTGTTTGCTTTTTTATAGCTTATGTTTAGGTCTTTAGTGACCACCAGGTCCACTTTATATATGAACTGAGGTTAAAGGGTCTAACTTACCTTTCTCCAATGTCATGAGCCGGTTTTCCCAGAAGCATCTAGTAAATAACCCATTCTATCCACATTGTTCTGTGATTCTACCATTATTATATATCAAGTTTTCATATATACATATATTTATTTCTGAACATTGTGTTCTCTCCCTTCAGTGTAAGTTGCTGAGGAACAATGTTTTTGTTTATATGGCTTTATAATATATCTCAACACACAGAAGGCAAGTTTCCCCATCACCTCCTTTATACCTTTTCAAAATTGGCTTAGCAGCATTATCAACGATAGCCAAACTATGGAGAGAGCCCAAATGTCCAATAAGGAAGATGTGGTAAGCAAGAGACGTAAGATGGTGGAGGAGTAGGAGATCCTAGTTTCCCTCAGGGGATCTTGGTCCCTTAAAATCAGCTAGATGGTTATCAAATCATTCTGAAAACCTACAAAATAAACCAGAGATCTGAGAAAAGAATTGCTACAATTCTACAAATAGAAAAGTGATTGCTTTTTCCAAGATAGGTGTGGAGACATGAATCTGAGGCAATATATCCCAAGATAAACCACGGGGGCAGAGAGCCTCCATAAGCGGGGAACTGGAAATCTTATAAGTAGCGGAGCACAAAATTGGAACTTTTAGAAGTTTGCCTGAAAGGCGCTCAGGAGATGAAGCAGGGTAGAATCCCAGGTGAGACAGCACGGTCTCAGGATCCCCAGGGTCACAAAAAGAACAGGGGTGCCTGAGTGTGGCAGAGTTCCCAGGCATTAGAGCAAGGAAGCAGCTTACAAACAGTGAGTCCAGGTGCTGGCTTTCTGCTCGGTGTTGGCATAAACTGCAAACTGCTGTGCAGTTGTGTGACCGTTCTCTGATCAGGGGCCCCAGCAAGAGGCAGAACCCCAGGGAGACCCTCCTCCCTCCCCCTACCTGGAGGAGTGGTATGAGTGCATGCCACAGGAGTTCATAAGTTTGGAAACTCGAATCAGGGTCATGTGCCTGAGATAAAAATGTTGGTCACAGGCTGGGTGAACACAGAGTTCACATGGAAGCCAAGGAGACAAGAGTGACCACTTTTCTTTGATGGCTCACTGAAGAGTGGGAGGCACGAACTTTCAGCTCTGGGTCTAGAGATTGGGGCAATACCATTTTCATCCCCCACATCATTGCAGAATGCCTTTAAGGAGCAAAACAGCACTACATAATGCAATCCGGACCTGTATACACTGAGCCCGGCCCCCTGGCAAGGGCGGTGCAATTCCACCCAGACAAAGACACCAGGGCATCTGCAACAGGCCCCTCTCCCAGAAGACCAGCAGGAATTTCTGTGAATACCAAGTTTACCGATACTACACTTATGGTTTATATATGTATTTTTCATTTTTGGCTTCCTTTCATTGTATTCAACGAAATTTTTGTGTGTATGTATATGTAAGTTTTTCTTATCTATTTTGGGATCAAGTTTCTTCTAACAAACAGACCAGAATACACCCAGGATCTAGTTTAGTATTCTGCTCAACTTCTTGTCTGATTTTATTCCCATTTTTTTCCCTTTTCTTTTTGTTTTCTATTCTCTTCTGATTAGTATATATTTTTCTGGCATCATTCCTTAGCCCTTTTTTTTCTTGTGTCTTTTTTAATTTTCGTTTTTACATTTACGGTTTATAAGTATTTTTTTCATTTTTGGCTTCCTTTCATTGTATTCAACTACATTTTTGTATATATATAAGTTTTTCTTTCCCATTTTGGGATCTAGTTTCTTCTACCAAACAGACCAAAATACACCCAGGATCTAGTTTAATATTCTGTTCAACTTCTTGTCTGATTTTATTCCCATTTTTTTCCTTTTCTTTTCTTTTTAGTTTCTGTTCTCTACTGATTTGTATACTGTGTATTTTTCTGGTATCATTGTTGCTGTTTTTGTATTTTCCCTCTCTTTATTCTTCTCTGGACATAATGACAAAATGGAAGAACTCATTCCAAAAAAGAGGACAAGAGGCAGTTACTCACTCCAGTTATTTAATCAATATGGATATAAGTAAGATGTCAGAACTAGAATTCAAAACAACGAATATAAAAATACCACTTGGGTTTGAAAGCATAGAAGACAGTAGAGAATCCCTTACTGGAAAAATGAAAGAACTAAAATCTAATAAGGTTGAAATCAAAAAGGCTATTACTGAGATGCAATAAAAAAAATGGAGGCTCTAACTGCTAGGATAAACGAAGCAGAAGAGGGAGTCAGTGATACAGAAGACAAAATGATGGAGAATAAGGAAGCTGAGAAAGAGATAACTACTGGATCACGAGGGGAGGATTCAAGAGATCAGCAATACCATAAAGCAAAACAATATTAGAATAATTGGGATCCCAGAGGAAGAGGAGGTGGGGAGGCAGAAGGTTTATCTGGAAAATTATAGCTGAGAAATTCCCTAATCTGGGGAAGGAAATAGGCGTTCAAGTCCAGGAAGCACAGAGAACCACCTTCAAAATCAATGACCTCAACATAATAGTGAAGTTTACAAATTTCAGAAATAAAGAGAAAATCCTGAAAGCGACTCAGGACAAGAGGTTCTTAATCTACAAGGGTAGAAACATAAGGCTGGCAGCAGACCTGGCCACAGAGACCTGACAGACCAGAAAGGACTGGCATGATAAATTCAGCATGCTATGCAAAAAATATGCAGCCAAGAATACTTGATCCAGCAAAGCTGTCATTCAGAATAGGAGGAGAGAGAAAAAGCTTCCAGAACAAACAGAAACAAAGAGAATTTGTGATCACTAAACCAGCCCTGCAAGAAATACTTAAAGGAATCCTATAAGCATAAAGAGAGCCCAAAAGTAACAAAGACCAGAAAAGAACAAAGACACTATACAGAAACATTGACATTACAGGTAATACAATGGCACTAAATTCATATTTTTCAACAATTACTCTAAATGTAAATGGACTAAATGCTCCAGTCAAAAGAC